TGTCATTCCATTTCCTCCTGGTCTACAATGTTACTGCTAAGAAATTTGATATCAGTCTAGAGGACTTTCCCTTAAATATTACTGAGTGCCTTTCTTGAAGTTTCTGTCCAATACAGTTGGCATATAGCACACCATGGTGAAGATCTTTTCTAGTAATGTGTGTGTGGAGACCTGTGACCCTTCTTCTGTAACTGGATGGCCACAATCCCCAAGATAGAGAATTTTCAGTAATTATTTTACTGAACAGGGTTTCTATGTCTCCTTCCCTTTTCTTATCATCCAGATACTCAAAAGTGTGGATATTTGTTTATTTAATAATTTCTCAAAGGTTTCAGTTTTCGTATTTCTTTATCCCCACCTTCCTCTCCTTTTTCTGATTTATTTACTTCTCCTTCCTTCCCATCTTTTTCATTTTTTATTGGCTGGGATATTTTATGTTATTTTATTAAAACATTTATTTTATGTGTATGTGTATTTTGCCTTCATGTACGCATGTGCACCACATTCATGCTTGATACCCAAGGAGGCAAGAAGAGGGCATTCAATCTCCTGAGACTGGGGTTATAGACAGTTGAGTGTTGCCATGTGGGTGCTGGAAATTGAACCCGGGTCCTCTGCAAGAGTGGCCAGTGCTCTTAACCACGGAGCCGTCTCTCCATGGCTGGGATATTTTTAAAGACCTATTTTTAAGTTTAGAAATTATTCTACTTGAGTAGTAGAATAATTTTAGTCCAGTATTAAGGTTTAGACTATTTAAAACCCATCTTATTGAGCTCTTCTTTTCCACAAATTCTATTAGTTTTTAAAAATATCTCCGCTGAATTTTATATTTGCATCATTCATTGTTCCCCCAATTTCATTCATTTCTCTATATCCTCTTGATATGACTGAGCTTTTTTGTAGCCACTCTTCGAGGTTCTTCAGCAGGCATTTCATCAGCCTGGTTCTTTACCTATGGCTAGAATATTACTGTGCTCTTTTGGAAGCATCCACTTACCTTGCTTTATTAATTTCATCATGATTCTGTTAAAATTTGAGTATCTGGTGATTCGGTTATCTCTACTACTTTTATAAGGCAACTTTCTTACTAAGGGGCTTTCTCTAGAACAGTGGCTCTCAACCTTCATAATTCTGTGAGTCTTTAATACAATTGCTCATGATGTGGTGACGACACCCAACTATAAAATTATTCCATTGCTACTTTATATCTGTAATTTTGCTACTATTATGAATCTCAGTGTAAAGATCTGATATGCAACCCCCAGAGCGGTCATGACCCACAGGTTGAGAATCGCTACTCTAGAAGCTATGTCAAGGAATGCCAGGTTGACTTTGGGGCTGATGGGAGCTATTGCGTAATCTCCCTATAAATTCTTTGACGCTAATCAGAAGCTTTGAGTGCAAGGTGTGCTGGATTGGGATTCAAAAGAACTTGGGCTGGGGACACGGAGTAGGTGTGGTATATACAACAGTTATGGTGGCATGTCCCTCTATGTGGTCATAAAAACTATAGGAGTAGTAGCAACAATGGTAGCTTTGTGAGGCACTGCTGGAGCGAGCTCTGCTGCCTTCAAGGACCTCTGACTTTCATTGGCAATGGGGATCATGCAGCACGTGCCTCCAGTCTTGGTGGTGGCATGGGCCCATAAACAACTGGGCATGGGAGAAGAAGGTGATAGGTAACTACTTTGTCTTTCTTGGCCCCAGTGCAGTAGAGGCCCACAAGCAGTTGCTTTGCCCAGTGGTGACTAGAGCCCATACCCAGTTATATACACAGAGATACAGTGACAAGGGACCTCAGCACTAAGCCTATTCTCGTCTCAGACTGAATGGAGGCATGGGCCTATAATCAGCCACTTGTCGGGGTTCAGCAGAAATGGAGGACTACAGCATACTGCCTGCCTCCAGGAGCTGCCAATGCCTTAGGTCTCAAGAGCTAGGACTCTTGTCTCAGTTTTTGAGAGTGGCACCCTTGTCCCCCTCCATGGTAAAACATACGTGTTCTTTAGTGTAGGGTCTTATCTGGGCTTGGTACTGTGGTCACATTGGAATCAAGTCGGTTTGTGAGTTTTCAGGTCTTTGTGCTGGTTTGGCAGAATGGCCAGTAAGTCATCAGAATTGGGATAATCAGAGATTTTTAATCCCTTGAGTATGATGAGGTTTGAACACTATCTCCTTTTTCAGGATGGGATCTAGCTATAGCAACTTTGTAAGCTGGGTTTGATGGAGAAATGTTTTCTTCTAAAAAATAAAGTGAATATACAGATTTGAGATTGTTCCCCTAGTTGGTCTCCAAGCTCGGAGGACTATGAAGCTTTCTGGTGACCAGGACTGCAAGGGTTTGTACTGATACGTTATTTATATTTTTCTTGTGGCTTTGTGTTGCATTATATATGTATGTATGTATGTATATGAAAAAACTAGCGTACCAACAGCTACAAAAGTTTTCACTTAAGTTTCTTTGTAAGAGTTTTATGGTTTCACTTATATTTAAGACTCTGATTATTGTGAGAATTTGTTTTCAATATGTTATAAGGGAAAGGTACCTCTCTTTATTTTGCATATTTATATGCAACTGTTCCAGCACTTTTATTGAGATGAATTTTCCTGATTATGATAGCATCCTTGTTTCAACAGGTCAATTGTTATGAAATGCAAGGATTTAATTATGAAATCTCAATTTCATTCCCGTGCTCAACATGTTTATTCTTGTATCAATACCACATTGTCCTAACTGTAGCCTTGTAGTGGGTTTTAAAATTAGGCTGTGAGCTCACAAACTTTGTTCTTCTATTTCAAGACTGTTTTGGCTATTTTGCATCTCTTTAATTTTTACATAAACTTTTATATCTGCTTGTCAGTTTCTACAAAGAGGCTGTTTGGGTTTTAAGTGGCCACAACTATAGATAAATTTGAGGAGAATCACCATCTTTATAATAGTAAATGCTCTAATCCATGAAGATGGTATTTTTTTTTCATTTAGTAGGTCTTCCTTAATTACTTTACATAATTTTAAAAAAATTTAATGTGCTGATCCCATCTATTTTTCTTTAGTGTATTTTACTTTCGTTTTGATACTCTCGTAAATGAGAATATTATTTTGGAATTGCTATTAGTGTATAGAAATAATTTGGTATTTGCATACAGACTTTGTGTTCATAAACCATATTATACTAATTTACTAGTTGTCATAGGTGTGTGTGTGTGCGTGCGTGTGTCTGTCTGTCTGTCTTGGGGGTGTTTTCTATATAAAATCACACCATCTGTAAATAGAAATAGTTTTGCTTTTTCGTTTCTGATGTATGGCTCTTATTTAGCAACGGTGACAGACCATTGCAGCTTTTCTTGTTGCCCCAGCTAGAATGTGACGCACAGTCTCGAGAAGGAAGAATTAGTGTAGATAGACATCCTGTCATGTCTGCTCTTAGGAAATTATCTAGTGTTTGGTCCTTAAGCATGATGTTATTATGTGTGTGTGTTGTGGTGGATACCTTTCACTATGCTGATAAAGTTCTCCTAGGGGTCGTCACATCCTCCCCTGCTGTCTTCATTGAAGGAGCGTTAAGGAAGCATGGGGGAGAGAGAAACTACAGCAGTCAACAGTCCCTTCCCATGGTACAGCGAGGCTAGCATGCCAGGTGTGCTTGCTGTTTTTCTCCAGTTTCTCAGCCAGCTCTGACAGCAGTCGGGAAGAGTTCCTAGGCACCATTTTGTTGGAAGGCTATGACTGTAGCAGCTGTAGCCAGCAGGGAAGCCATGGGCACATGGGTCTACTCCTCTCAGGTCTGAGCTGGGGCAAAGGTCAGGGAAGAGGTCTTGAGAACAGGAGCTTCTGAAGTCCCAAGTGTTCCATTTGGCCGTGGCCAGTTTAGCCCGAGGTCAGGGTACTCTAAATGTGATTCCAGGAATGAAAGCACGAGAAATCCCAGCCCAGACCACAGGCAATGCTAACGTTGAACACTGGTCCCTGGTGCGAGGAAAACCAACAGGTGGCAACCCCGAGAGCAGCGTTTGCCACGAGCTTCGGCCACACAGAGGTTCACTCAACTCACCTTCACTTGTCACTCAGCTCAGAGTCCTTCCTTATCTGTTTGGTCCCTGGGCCCCTCATCCTTTAACCCTTCATCTTATAACCTTAGCCCTGGCTTTCTCAAGTCAAAGGAGCATTAGTGGATATCAGACTTAAAGTGCTCCTTTATCACCTGCACTTAACAGTCAGCTAAATCACCCTTAAATCAAGTCATACCCTATTCTAATCCCAGTAGCCATGCTACCCTAATCCTAATCCTCTTTTCTGTAGCAACTCCGACACGTGGCAGCACTGCCCTTGTCATCCCAGATCTCCCGAGAGCCTTCCTTTCCCACAGCATCCCTCCTTCCCACTATTTTCCATTACAAGTTATAGTTATTCGGGTCAAGGGACAGCTCTGGCTGGCCAAAGCTACTGCAGAACCTCTCTCCAGCCTTCTTCCGTGACTCAGACTGAATTAATGACTAACTCCAAAGCAAGCAGCTTATTTCATAATTACAATGGTGGAGATGACTTTGTGTATGTGTGTGTGCACATGTGTATGCATGTACATTGTGTGTGACCATTATGTGTGTGCATGTACATGTATGTGTGCGTTGTGTGTATGTGTATGTGTTGTGTGTGCATTTGCATGCATGTGTGTATGTGTGTTATGTGTGTGTGTGCATGTGTGTGTGTGTGTGTGTGTGTGTGTATTGTGGTGATGGTAAGGATGAGGAACAGCTCCACATCCCTCAGAATCTCTGTGTTTGTGTAGCTAATGACAAGCCCCAGAGTGGCTCATCTCATCTCTACCTATCCTGGTTCACTTTTGGCTTCTTGAAATGGAGAGAGTGGCTTATATTGTACCAACAGATGCTGCTCTCAGAACCCACAGCCTCCTTTGTTGGCTCTGTCAGATTTCCCTGTAAAGGGCCCCATCACTATGTCTTTGTACAGAGCTTCAGTGGAGGGAGGGAGAGTTCTGTACCTGGGAACTTCCTCTCTGTTTGCCTACTGTTTTCATTTCTCGACATGTGGAGTGGTAGAGTTGCTTGTTCCTGGGCGACAGATTTTCATGCTCGTATTTTCTGGCCTATGGGGAAAGGGAACAGATATGAGTGAGGAGAGGATAAGATAGATACTCGGGGCAGAAAAGAGTTAAAAACAGGGAGGGGGGAACTTCCTTTCATAAAAATGAAATGGGTATTCTTATTTTAGCCACTCTAGAGTGGCTGCTTAGTCTGGGATTTGCTGTACCTTACAGCTTCAGAAAGGGCTTACGCAGGAGGGAGCAGCTACAGACAAGGACTGCTGTATACAGTGACAGAAATGCAAGGACAGCTAGCTCTGGGGATTAGGAAATAAAATACAGTAGGGTCTCTGCCGTTTAGCCTGTGCATATGTGGCAGAAAGGCTGTGTTTCCCTACAGGAAGCACATTCCCCCATTTTTGAAACAAGTTTCACCAAGTGACCCCGGACCTTTTGACTCCATGAAGATTTTCCCATAAATCTTTCCGCAGTCCCTCTGTGCAGCGAGGATTAAGCCACAGAGGAACTAGAGCTGTATATGTGTTGTGAGCCCCTCATTGGGAAAGCAAGGCTGTGCCAACCAAGACAAAGAAACAGCTAGTGGAAGGAGGATGGGACGCCCTTCTGTTCCCTGTACAGACTGCTTTCTTTCTGACTTCCTGCAGAATGGGCGAAAGCCTCAGAGCATTTATACCTGAACAGAGGCTCTAATGTGCATGTCTGGAGAGGTTTCCTTAGGAGGCAGATGAGAGTTTGGATCTAGAATTACATTGGAGGTTTGATCTAGCACCTTCTGATGCACACTGGCGTCAAAGTAATGCAGTTCACCCATAGAAAGAGCATAGGTGGGAAGAGCGCCGCAAAGACAAGCAAACAAGACTGACAACTTAAGCTTTCTCCTTGCCGTCGGGCCGTGTATGCCCTGACTCATTCCTGTTGCCCTGGGAGGTGTGGGAGACAGGAAAGGATGAACACATCTACCCAGCATGGTTAGTGCGCGCTGAAGGGGACCTTTGCCCATTGATCACAAGTACTCTCATCCTGAGAGGTACATGGCGTTTGGAGTTTGAAGACTGAATACTACTGACAAAAGTTGGATTCTTCGGACAAATATTTAAAATACGCTTTGTCTTTATAGGACATGAGAAAGAATCAGCTCAGTATTAACATTGTGGGTTGGCAGGTGAGAGCATGAATGCAAATGGATAGACTCAATAATTTAAGAACCAATATTTCTTGTGAGGTCATATACAATACATAAATAATACCAAGTTCTCAGGAAGATGTGAAGACAATATAAATTCACTATTCATTAGGTGCCCCTAGGTAAATAAGACACAGCTTCTTGTGTTAAGCTGCTCATGGTCCAGCAATTAGCACGCCCAAGCACTGCTGCTGTATTAGTTACCTTGCTCTGCACTATGACAAAACACCCGACAGAAATGGGTAAGGAAAAGGTTTATTCTGTTTATAATTTTGGGGATTTCAGTTCATCACGGCTGGGGAGACAGAACAGAGCCATTTGGTCCATGACAGCAAGAGATGTTGGTAGCAACAAGTTCTCATGACAGTGGACCAGGAAGCAGACAGCTCATGCAGAACCAGGGATAGGTATAATTCTCCAAGTTCAGTCCCAAGTGCTCTGACTTCCAGCTGAGACTGACTTTCTAAAGGCTCTGCAGCTTTCCCTGTTGTGCCATAAACTGAAGTACTGGACCCCAAACTTCTGGGCTGGGGGGTCACTTCAGAGTCAGACTCTAACAATGTTGACGGTTCTAGGACAGAAACAACTGCAGGAGGCCCCAGTGAAGCTGGGGGGTCACTGCTGAGTTCCTTGGGAGTAGTAAGTAGAGGGGAGGGTCTGAGAAGAGGAACAGGTCAACAGATGTGGCACTTGAGAAAAAAGGAAGGCACTGCAGGCCCAGAAAAGTGTGCAAAACCTGGGAGAGTAACCAAGCAAATCATCCTTGGGGGTTAGAACATTCTAGTTGCCTGGCGGAAAAAGGCTTGGGTGAGAATGACTGGACAGTAAGCTCTCTGTGTATGCTCCTTGGCTATGAACTGAATCAGCTCTCTGCCATGACTTCCCAGGCACTCAGAGGTGCTCTACCTTGTAGCTAAGGCTCCGCCATCCATTTCCCAGATTTCTGAGGTCTTCAGACCTCTCAAAAATCTGCCACCCAAAGCATCAATGATGTCTCTGGGACCTTAGAAAGAAAACAGGGAACAAAGAGAAGGGACATTGGTGGTGGGTTGAGGTTTAAGAAGACTTGGATGGAGGGTAGCAGCTATGAGGAAATCTTTGGGCTGGCTCATTTGGAGTAGAAGCATCTGTGTATTATCTTCTCTGTTATCAGTTACTCCCACATTTAAAGACTTATAGAATACCTCATAGTATACTACTAGGCCATTCATGGGTTGGGATCAGAGGTGATGACAAGCCATGGGGAAAATATATTGGTGAAGTCCCCAAGGAGCAATTACTACCCACTCTGGCAATGCAATGCTTACATAGTTCCAGAACAACGGTAGCTATAATCTTTGGCATCAAAAGGATTAAACTATTCTCCAGATTCTTGATCTATCCTTATTAATTCTTTTCCACCAATGCTGTTATAAAATACACCGATGAACGCAATGTAAGTGTTTCCTCTGGCCCACAGTTCCAAGGTGCAGTCAGCCATGGCAGAGAGTTAAGATGACAGGAGCTGAAGCAGTTGGGGATACTGCATTGAGAGTCAGGAAGCAGAGCTCAGTGCATGCTTGCATACTAGTGCTCCATTTGGGATCCCCTCCTCTCAATAGCAGGTCTCCCCATCTTTATTAACACAATGGGCAAACACGGTCTTCAGGTGATTCTAGATTCTGACCAGTTCACAACATTAGCTCTCACACTTTCTCAGAAAGCCCACATCCTTCTCTTTCTTTTATCACCCTCTTAGATTGAGTTGGATGCCTACTTCTCTATTCCAGTATAGACTTGGTGAAACTTTCTTGGCAGTTTGATTTATTCAAAATCATCTTTTTGTTCCCACCAGCAGCTAAGAGTTAACTTAACTGCAAGAACTATGCCTCGTACACTGTTCCTAAAGACTGTAATGGGCACAGGTGTACAACTTAAATATTGAATGAATGAGTCATGATAAGTTATTTGAATTAACAGATGCAAATATAGACATATACACAAAGATTGCTGTTACGACATTGTATCACAGAGATCTTACAGGACAGTAGTGTTATTCTTTTGTAAGGTGCTGCAGAGAAGCACAGGCCAGGAGACTGAAGTGCTCCATTCTAGACTGAGTTCTGCTACTTGGGTGATGTCAGCCAATACTGAAAGTCCTCTGGGCCCTGCAGTCCCTCCTGATGGTCCCTGTGACCAAAAGGACAGAAGTGGATTGCTAACCCACCACCTCAGTGCCTGAAGAGTAAAGCTAATCTTGGCCATGCCTCAGCTCGGACCCACAATCAGCCAGTCTTGTTTCCAATAAGAGTTTATTTGGAGGGTAAGTAGGCTCAGAGTTCCAGGAGGCAGCAGCACCAGGCAAATCTAAAGCTGACATAAACCATTTTGGATTCCATGTGCGAGAGGGCTTTTGTCCTTTGGTCATGCGCTCTTTCCCAGCCATGGAGCCAAGGTCTTTTCCACCTGCACCATCCCCACATCACTCTCCTTCCTAAGGCTGGCAGAGCAGAAGCAGCAGCAAGGGAGAGAGAACTGGCCAGGCTCAGCGCCAAGCTCCTGGTGATATCATCTCCCCAATGAGAGACACTGAAACGTTAAAGTGTCTCTTGTTTTCTGAGCAGCTACCCTCGAGACAGCAGACAGAAGTGGTAACAGGAAGATGACAGCAACCTCTAAAAAGCCCAAAGAGATGTAACCAGATGTCAACCAGCCCCCAGATGTTGAAGACTCCTCTTTATATTTCACAACTGTAAGATCTTATTTTAGGACAGTGTTTCCAGAGGTTCCTAAAATGTTGCTCAAGGCCCAAGATTTTGGCTTGATAAAGAACTTGAAGTTTATTTTATTCTTCCCATCCTTACACACACACACACACACACAAACACAAACACACACACACCTGTTTACATAACAAAAACTGAAAATGTAAGTGCCAGATGGTGGTTTTAAAAATAGACAGCTTGATTTCGGGATAATGATAATTTGCCTACGTCCTTTCTGCCCTTCACATCTACTGCTTTCCCTTGCTTACTCCGGACTGAGCTGACAGGGACCTTGTTTACTCCGGACTGAGCTGACAGGGACCTTGTTTACTCCTGACTTAGCTGACAGGGAACTTTCTGATTTACTCCTGACTTAGCTGACAGGGACCTCTCTGGTTTCCTCTCTCAAGTAAGCCACTGAGGAAACAGGAGTCACAAAGTCTAAGAGGCCTATCTGGTAACTCATTCACTTAGGTGCAGAGGTAGAAAATTGTCTTTTCTTTTTTATAAAAGGGTCAAAGACAGATTATTTCTTCCCCTCAGGGTAACAGTGGATCCTTAGAGTCTACTTGAGGGCAAACTTGTCCGAATACCCTTTAAAGACGGAAAGGGTTGTCAGTTTACGTTCCAGAAAACCCATAAAATAATTACACCTTTCCCTTCTATCTGAAAATATCCATGATTGCCATCAAAGAGTAAGTACAAAAGTTCCCCCCACTATTCACTAGAAAAAAAAATATTAAACATACAATAAAGAACCAGGTATCTATTATCCAGATTTACTATTATTCAAATTTAAGTTCTGTGACCACCATCATTTTATAGCAATCAGATTCATTGTTCTAAAATTGTTTTTATAGTTGCATGTTTGATAAATATAAACAGGAAAAGGACTTAGGACCATATGAGGTAGTTTTCTTGGTGGCCATGACTTTCACAATTTAGAATCAAGGAGAGATAGCTGCTGAAGAGATCTTAGTGGTGAGAAAATGGGATTCATCTTTTATTGTTTCCCAGCTCACCCTCTGATATTGAGCAATGGCTTCAGCCAAAGCTTTTTGTCACAGCCCTGCTAAAAGCAAAATAAATAATACTGTCATGTTTAATCTGACTTCATTAGGTCAGAAAAGCCAAGTCGGATCAAAGAGAGGGGAGAGCCAGTGGGGGAAGGTACTGAGAGCGGGAATCAGTGTGTAGCCTGCAAGTCCTGGCTAGCTCATACTCGGCCCCACAGGTTGGCAGAGGAGGCTGAGAACCTCCAGGTGCCTTAGAGTAAGTGAGCTTCTGGCACCTTCACAAGGTGAAGTGCTAGACGAGTGTGGCTAGTGAAAATTCTGCTTGGTAAACATTTGAGGGAATGTTCAGGTTTCATTTCCTGCCTTCATTTGAAAGCTTTCCCCATTATCCACCCCCATGGGTATTGTTTTAGACGCCCCTCTCTCCATACATCCTATTCTTACTGTCTGCTGCCCACTCCCAGACTGTCCTGCCTATCTTTGCTCTCTGTCTGCTTCTGGCACACTTGTACCTGCAGCTGCTGCATGGCCCCTGCAAGGCAAGTGCGGAATGCTCCTGTGGAATGTGAGAGTTCAAATCGTGCCCCTTGACTCTTGATGGAGAAGAGGAAGGGAGCCAGGTGTCAGAACCTTTGCACCTATACAGTGCCCAGGGCCTCTGGTTGGCATCACAATGATTGGCAGTTTCTTGGCAGGTCCCTGGCTTAGGGATAAAGAAGAATATCCAGTGTCCACAAAACATTCCACTCCCTTGAGGCACCACATAGCTTCTGCCTGGGAAGGAGCAGCTGCTGAGCCTGCATACTACATGTGGCAAGGATTGGTAGCTCATAGCATACTCTGGAGGTCTGACTTCAGGCACCGCGTGGTGCCTAACAGAACAAGGATCCTAGACTCCTCAGAGACCCTTCCAACCTTTCTCTCACACACAGCAGTGAAGGGGCAGACCCTAGTAAGACGAAAATGAGGGCAAACCCCATGGATTTCTCACTGTGGCTGGAAGCAGGGCTTTTGGGATTCCTCTTAGGTCTGCCCAGAGACTGGTCTTTCAGAACTACTGTTGGTCAGGCTGCTGAAAGTTGTTGCTCCTAACTGTTCTCTAGTGGCCAGACACCAGTATTGCATACACCAAATGCTAGGCACTGCGAGAGGAAGGCTTCTCTAGTCGTCTTTAGGAAAGCCACGGGGTGCATCGGTGTCTTAGTGTCTAGGCTGTGCACTGAGACGCTGAGCAGACCTCTGCCGAGTGGAACAGGCAGCTGAGAGCAGATGAGAGCTTGTCTTAATAGCTTAGATTTGGGGGCGTGAAAGCTTCTTGTCTGTGGTCAGTCTCTGCTCCCTTCTCTCTCCTCATCAGGCTGTCAGAGCAGCCTGGCTAGTTCAGGGTGTGAGGGGGACTACTGGAATGTCTGCTCACAGTTCGTGGCTTTATGCGTTGGCTGTGCTCTGGCTGGGCACAGCAGCCTTGCTCCCCTTCCATGGAGCTCTGAATGACTCGGGTATTCCTCAAGCATTTCCTGCACTCTCAGGCTCCACATCTTTCTGATATCCCGTCCTTTCCCTGAATCTCTTTTGCTCAGGATTATAGGTGTAAATGTGTTACCTTCAAGCCATGCAGGCTCCACTTCCTCCCTTTCTCCGCGCCCCTCCCAGCCTGGAGTGACCATCCCTACTACCATCTCAAGCACTTTGCGCCACTCTCTGATATTTCCGTATTGCCAGACTCCTCTCATCTAGCCTGGCCCTGCTGAATTTCTGTGGGCTGCAAACGAGCTACTCTTTTCTGTATCATGTTAGAATAAATAAAAAGGGTTCAGTTAGCATTCAGGGACTGACATGAGGGCTCCTAATAATTGTTGCTTATGGTAACTGAGCGCATACTACGTGCTGGGCACTTGGCCAAGTGCTATGGGAACTCTCCCTCAGGCACGACCTTGTGAGAGCCCCGAGAATGCCTACAGTCTTACAAGTGAAAGAATTCCTAATGTCACCAGGTGTGTCCTTCCGTCCCTCTACAAGTGCTGACAGCTCCAGCACCTCGGCTCAGATGCCTCTGTGACTCTAGGGGCCACCAGCAATCAGTTGTATGGGATTTCTGCGGGAGGAGGGGAAGTGTGGGAGTTTTAAACAGAAAGCCCCACAGGTGTAGGGATTAGTTTGGGGAAGACATACATAATTCCTGGGGGCTGGGAAGAGGCTGGGTTAGTGTCTCTAGAAACCAGAAACGATCTCATTAGATGCTGAGAAGCCGTCTCTGAAGGGCTTCTGACAGACACTTCCATAATGTCTGCTTTCCCTTTCTGGCATTTCTAACATTATTTATTTTTAGTTATAGCATACTGGAATACTAAAATACTTGAGTCAGGGTAAGAACAAATAAAACCTGGTTTTATTTGTGGTGATACAAATTCATGTAATTAAACAGATAAATATTCATTGAGCACTGATGATGTGCCAGGCACAGACTCATGTTAAGGCGACAGGAAACACATTCACAGTCTATATTAGGGATCAAGGAAAAGATATAGTGTTCACACAACATTCTACGCTTGAGGCAAAACAATAGTGGGATTCAATTAAAACATTCTGAGTACCTTCAATATGACATCTGGAACCTGAAGCAAATTTGGCAAATCCATATCCTTCTTGGATAAAGTCAGAACAGTGGCAGAGGCATGATATCTGAGTGATGAAAGCAAAAGGAAGTTAGAATCAGAGTCCATGGCTTGGAGACGCAGGCCCCAGCTTTTTCAGAGACAAGGCTTGGGGACTTGCAGTTCCATAGTTCTGCAAAGCTCGGGCCATCAAGACTCAGGCCATGCAGGCTCGGGTCAAACTATATTATTGCCAGACACCATTACAAAGAGCAACATCTTCTTAGGCTATCTTTCTCTCTCTCTCTCTCTCTCTCTCTCTCTCTCTCTCTCTCTCTCTCTCTCTCTCTCTCTCCTAACCAACTACAGTCCTAAATGGAATATAAGTAAATCAGGCAAAGATCACCCCTGAAAGCAACATGTCTGCATGGCTGTGAACAAAGACCAAGAACAAATCCTTTCATGCCTGGCTGGGCCTCCTGGACTTTATGCCCCTGCACACTCAAACAATTTCCCTCTTTTCCCCCACAGGCTATCTGTCACTGGCACATTCCTTCCAGCTGTCAGGTGACATGGAGCTATGGCAGGGCCACACCAGTTGTCTCCGCAGGATTCCCTACCTTCCCACTGTTAGGGGCTGAGGCCTTGGTGTGGGGGTGGTGAGACACTGGGCATGCCCCAGCCATCCAAGGAATGGAAACAGGGAGTGCGATGCCCTGCCAAGAACACCTCTCTTCTTCAGGGAGAAGGGCTTCATTGTTCATTGTCCATGTGAAGGAGTGTGGCGCTCATCAAGTAGCCATTGTTTCATTTACTGCCACCTCCCTGGTCCTGGGGGGGGGGGTGAGCTGATGTGAGTTCCTCCACAGGCTTCTCTGCTATGGGAATGGGCTGCCTCAGATTTATTATCCCAAAAGTGACCAGGAAAGACAAGAAGGCCAGGTCAGTCCTGCTTCAGCACACAATAATCTCTCATTAACAGGACCTCTGTGTCCTGAGCTGCTTTGGACAGTGAGTGTGGTTTCAGCACAGTTGGGCCAAGCTGGGAGAGCGGTCCTGGGAGGAAGTGGCTTTGTACAGGCCCTTCCCCATCACTTCCTGGGGTCTTACAGGCCTCACCTCCATCCTCATAGCTGCATTTCCAGAGTGTTTTTGAAGCTGGAATGTTCTGAGACGTATTTCACTAAACATTCCTTTACCTTTTCTAAACCATTCTACTGGATCTGCCTGTCCAAGGGAACATAATACTTTGAGTGCTTTCAACTATTCCCCTAAGGGTTTAGGGAAGTCACTGCCAAACAAATATTCTGGGACCTGAAACTCCAGACAAAGGAAGAGTTTCTGTCCTTATAGACAGCTAAACATCCATTATCCTCTTTCTGTTCCCAATAAGCTATGTTCCTGCCCTGTCCTCCGAGAGCTGAGGGCACTTCACAGGTCCCGCCCAGCCCGAGTTTGGTGAGGTAAGTAGACTCGAGATTGCTGCCTCCGTCTTAGAGCATAACTGAGGGGAATCTCTCTTACTGCCGTATGGAGCATTTAATGTGGCCTAAGTGTGGTCAGCAGAGGAGGGGGTGGGGGTTAACTTATTAGCTGTCAAGCACTAGCAAAGGATCATTTCCAGATTTTAGGAAAGCCAGCATATCTGGGCCCCAGACTCACACATCAGAGGCAACACTGAGTCAGGCAGAGGGCAGGATGTCACCTTTGGTTAGTTCTCCCATTCATTGCCACCTCTACCTGACCAGCCTCAGTGTGGCCTTCATGTGACTGTCACCAACATGTGAACTAATGACATAGCACAGTTTAAAAAGATGAGTTGTCATTACTCACGATGATTCTTGAGGTATGTCAGCCCTTAATACGTATATTACTTTGTTACTTCCGAAGCAAACCTTTGACTTATTGAACCTTTGCTCATGCCAGATAAACATACACACACACACACACACACACACACACACACACACACCTGAAAAATAGGCACTCAAGCATTTGCTTTGAAGATACACAAACCCCTCTATCAGCTTGTTGAGAATTATTTTAACGTGCAGACAAAGGGACATCCCTACTGCAGTCATGTGTTTACAGACTTTAGAATGCACGACAATGATCAACAGGAAAGGAAGTTCTCGCGAAGTATGTGTTTCCTAGCTACAAGCCTATGAACCAGCCTCTGTGCCTTCCTTGCTTATCCCCCATGCCTTCCTCTCCTCCCTCCATCATACCTTAACCTACCTTTCTTCCCCCAGAGCAGCCACTTCTCATCACACCTAGGGACAATTTCATTCCGAAAAGGGGCAGTGATTAATGAAGAACCTAATTATTTTAAATGGAAGCTGAAATGTCCCCTACATTCAAATCCTCAGTTTTCAGAAACAGAAATACGCTCTGTATTGATTTTGGTCGTGCAGTGGGGTGGGGTGGGAGGCTGATGAAACTGGAGAAGGCCCCAAGTGAAAAAGAGCAGCTACTTCCTCTTTAAAGACAGGATGGTATAGCTCTAGACTTTTGATAGTTATAGTCTGAAGACTGGAAACTAAACCAGGGGAGGAAAATGTGGAAGTATTTTGAGAGATAGTGTCTAGGTTTGAATAGTGGGGGCAGGAAGGAAGGTTATGTGGGTCTCATTTCCTCTAGCAAGGCCTTAACTTAGCATAAGCTTTGTCTGAGAACTCCAGGGGCATTTCTGATTTCCATGACTTGACCTGGTTTCTCCAGTGATCACATGCACCTCTGCCCCTTGAGGAGATGCCCACTGAGGTCTCTCTCACATAGTTTGTTCCCCGAAGCTGGGCATTACCTTCCAGGGATGCTGAGCACCAGAGGCTTGTTTACCAGGCTGGCCTCACTAAGCCAAGGAACCTTGTCAAATTTTGGAACAAAGGCCTAAAGAGAAAGGGGAAGAGACAATTTTGCAGAGGTTATCACACTTAGGAAAAATAAAGATAAATCTTAAAAGAGGACACAGGGCTGGAGAGATGGCTCAACAGTTAGAAGCACTCTCTCCTCTTCGAGACAACCCTAGTTCAGTTCATAACTCACACAGCTCACAATTGCCTGTGACTATAGCTGCAGGGGACCTAGAACCTTTCTATGGCCTCCACAGGTACCTGCTTTTAGGAGCACATGCCTACACACAGACGCATGTGCAGATAAAATTAAAAATAAAATATTAAAACAGTTATAACACTTGACTAGTGCTGGCAGGACGATAAGCAAAGTGAGCTAATAGCAACCACACAGCAATCAACACTCAACAAGGCATTTTTACACCTGAGTCTTTCCACCACCCCGTAAGTGGCCAAGAACAAATACGTGCCTTCTCTGGTTTACAGAGTTCAAAGTGAAAATGGTGCTACTTCCTCTAAGCGACACAGTTAATAATGGGTTCATGCTTTCTGACTTTTGTGTCCACCCTATCCTGTATTCTAGATATTTTCAGCTCTCTGTACTTACACCTATTCATAAATTTCCAGCAATCTCTCGTCCTGATCTTCTAGCCGTGTTTTCAGACCCCAGGCACTCCACCCTCTTTTTTAGGTGGCAAAGTCTAGTAAAGAATCGAGCCTTGAAATCATCCACATTTGGGGATTTGATCTAGTTGCAATCAATATCTAGCTGCTTGACTTTGGACAAATATAAACGTATGATCACATCGTCTCTGTGAAGACCAGTGCCCAGAAAGCTCCGTCAGATCTGAGATATGTTTTCTCTGTGTAGTTACTGAGGTCTCTACCATAGCTCCAGGAGCCCGGGCTGTCACCTGTACCTGTAGGAAGGTTTGAATGCATGGAAAGTCCCTTATCTGAGGCCTGACAATAACAAAAGTTCAACAACTGCGGCTGTTATCCCTCTTCCACGGCCCAGAATCTATCCCTGGCTTCTCCTCCCTTGGAGCCCCCAAAGCGCATCCCAGACTTTGAGCAGATCTCCGGAAGAGGAGCCGCCAGTAGAGGGCAGCAATGTCTCCGTGCCGGACGCTTGGGCGGTGGAGCCCTGTCCACCCGGAAGTGCTCCTCCACAGAAGTACCCTCCAACCCCACGCCCCGGATGTAGAAATCGCTGGGCTGCTGCCCATCTCAGTCGTGCACCCCTAGGAACTCGGTGCAGGTGGGTTCCGGTATCCTTCACGTCGGGCCGGTCCCGCCGAGCCGAGGCTGGGAGAGGGGCGGCGGCGGCGGGCGGGGCAGGCCGGCTGGGTGAGTGGCAGCACCAGACCGGACCATTCCCCGTCTGGTGACGCGGACCCCTCAAACCTAGAAGTCCCTGTGCGTGAGGGCAGATTCCAGGGTGTCTGGCTTTGGGAGCAAAATTCTAGCCTGGCCTCCATGGAATAAAGACGGTCCGGCAGGAGGTTTCTTTTTTCTTTCTCATTTCCTGAATGACCTTCATGTTTCTGACTCTTGAGTTTTCCTTGCTGTTTCAGTTAAGGTGATATAACACTGAAGGATGGTAAGCTCAGCTAATGAACAAAGGGAGGTTTGAGTTCTTGGTTTGGGCTAAAACTGTAGATATCATATTGTTCTGTATGGTGCATATTATTGTCATGAGGCTGATAACTTACTCCGATGCCTTTGGGAACCTGGTAACAGCTTTGGATTCTGTCCCTGTCTATTTGCATAACTTGCAAATACAATCATGCAAAAATAGCACATAGCTTAGGTGTATGAATGCCAGAGTTAAGACTGTATTAGAGGAAGACAATGAGAAGCACAAACTTTGATAATAGACTTCTGTTGGAATTCTGGCTCCACTTTGTTACCCTGGGACAAAAATACCCAACCAATGTGAAACTCAGATGTTTTACTAGGTAAAGTGGGATGGGTACTAACTTGTAAGGTTGTGACGGTTAAATGCTAACTTTAGCGTTCTGAGTCAGTGATGTCATGCAGATAGCAATTGTTAAGATTATATTTTAAAACTTGAGGTGTGATTTTTAATGCCTCAAATTAGGTCACCGTACACGGTGATTTAGGCTTTCAGTAGACTGAGTTGTTTTGATTGTAACGGAGTCCTACCATGACCTTCCCAGGCCTTCATGTATTCACAGAGCTCTCTTTTTCTAGGAATTCAGCCGTGTTGTCCTTCCTCACAGAACAAACCCATCTATTGCAGGCCTAGCCTGAATCGCAGCCTTTGTAAACAAGAAAGAAGCGCCTATAGGGCATCAAGCATGGCATTTCCAGAGAGGTGTTAATTTGCAGCTTTGTCGAGAGCGAGACTCGCTTGGACTTCTCTGAGGGAGACTGAACCGGCCTGGACTCAGGGAGAGGATGAGATAATGTGTGCTCAACATGTCACGGACACCAAAGAAGTCAAGTGGCAGAAGGTTTTGTATGAGCGGCAGCCCTTCCCTGATAATTATGTTGACCAAAGATTCCTGGAAGAACTCCGGAAGAACATCTACGCCCGGAAATACCAGTACTGGGCTGTGGTGTTCGAGTCCAGCGTGGTGGTCCAGCAGCTCTGCAGTGTCTGTGTTTTTGTGGTGATCTGGTGGTACATGGATGAGGGGCTTCTGGCCCCCCAGTGGCTCTTTGGGACTGGGCTGGCATCCTCACTGCTTGGGTATATTTTATTTGATCTCATCGATGGAGGCGATGGACGGAAGAAGAGCGGGCGGACCCGGTGGGCTGACCTGAAGAGTACTTTGGTCTTCATTACTTTCACTTACGGTTTTTCACCCGTGCTGAAGACCCTGACGGAGTCTGTCAGTACCGACACCATCTACGCCATGTCCGTTTTTATGCTGTTAGGCCATCTCATCTTCTTTGATTACGGTGCCAATGCCGCGATTGTATCCAGCACACTGTCCTTGAACATGGCCATCTTTGCTTCTGTTTGCCTGGCTTCACGTCTCCCCCGGTCACTGCATGCCTTCATTATGGTGACATTTGCCATCCAGATTTTTG